CGCAACGTCCACCCGGGGGTTTCAAAATCCCTTTTCTCTCCGCCCCGTGTCAAATTTCGTCGGGCTCCTCCATATTCAGAACCACACATTCCGGGGACCGGAAACCCGTTCCCAGGTGAGGTTTCACCTGAATCCGAGCGCGTTGGATGTTGACGAGGAACGATTCCAACGGAGAAATATCGACGGCCGGCCAGGTAAAAGTAATTAGACATCTGACCGGCTAATTAAGTGATCATTATTTACGGCCGACGAAAACTAAGCGCGCCGACGACGCTAATGGATGTCCATCACCTGCGGTTCCAGGTTCGCGCCTGGGACCCATGGGGACTAACCGGGGCATCATCGCTCCTCTTCCTCCTCCCCGTGGCCAGGCCGAGTGCCGACAGGAATCGTGAATTATCGCTCGTAAATAGTCGCATTATCGGCCCGATCGGTTCGGGAGGTGTCATCGCGGCGGCCATTTTGGCGAACGAGTGACGCGCTTGCGCGGCCCGCTCGCGGAAGCCCTCTTCCCCCTCGATAAATTAGTAATCGCGGCTCGCTAATTGGCCATCACCGCGCTCCAGAGCCGATTATCTGGCCATCTTGGCTCGCCCTTGGACGCGGCGAAACGGGGCCCATAATCGGAGATCTCCAGCAAAGTGGATCCAGGAATGGTTGGTCCCTCGAGCCGCGGATTACTCCCGGATAGCCGACGCGAAAATCACCGCCCCCTGTCGATCTTAATCCCACGAAACGATCCCCCGGGCTTCCAGATCGCGGAAGATGGACCAAGACGAATCCTGAGATCTCTCAATCGGCGAGGTGGAAAGTCACTTGCTGAGTTCTGGTCTCTTGGTTTCTGTTTTTATATTTTTTGTTTTGAAACTTCAGGAACTGGGGAAGGGGGAAAGATAGGAGGAAGAAGAAGAATCGAACGCGATTGGGTGAGGACGGCGAGATGGGCTTCTTCCGGGGAATCCAAGATGGCCGACTTGGAGAAGAAGGGCGGAGATCGATCGGTGAAATCTCAGGATAATCCGCTGCTGGACTTATGGAAAGCTTGCTTCCTGTTTTCTGGTGTTTTCGGAGTTAACGAAGAAAAGGAAGAAAGAGGGAAAGAGCGCGGATGTGCGGGAACGGCGAGATGGGCATCTTTCGGGGAATCCAACATGGCTGACCTGGAGAAGCGAGCGGAGATCGATCGGACGAAATCTCGCGGCAACTGGCTGCTCGATTTCTGGAAAACTTGGTTCCTGCTTCCAGAAATTTCAAAATTAGCCCAAGAGAGGAAAGGGACGAGGAAAGAGAAGAAAAGAGCCCGGCTATACAGGAACGGCGAGATGGGCATCTTCCGGGGAATCCAAGATGGCCGTCCCGGCGAAGACGAGCGCAGATTGATCGGACGAAATCTCGCGGCAACTCGCCGCTCGATTTCTGGAAAACTGGGTTCCTGCTTTCAGAAATTTCAAAATTAACCCAAGAAAGGAAAGCGACGAGGAGAGAGAAGTAAAACAGCACGGCTATACGGGAACGGCGAGATGGGCATCTTCCGGGGAATCCAAGATGGCCGACCCGGCGAAGACGAGCGGAGATTGATCGAACGAAATCTCGCGGCAACTCGCCGCTTCACGGCTGATCGGCCGTCCCCGTTTAGAGCGATTTTATCGCCGAGTTTTACGGTCCCCGATTGCCGGCGGTTAAATTCGCGGGATTTGCACAGGATAGAGAAAGAGGGGAATTCTCTGCCGGGTCTAGGAAGGCGGACGGGCCCCGTCCGAGGTCTCGCAGGGAATATCGTCGTTCCGCTCGCGGAGGCCCGCTTCCCAGAAGCCGCGGTCGGAATTTCTCCCGAGTTGCGAGAGAGCCTCCTAAAAACCTCGAAACGTCGCCGGGCCTTATCCGGGGCCTTAACGTCGGCCGCGGACCGCGTCGTAAACGTCACCCGGCCGACGCCTTTTTTCGGCCCTAATTACCGGCCGCGATCGGACGCGGGTCCGCGGACATCGCGTAAACATTAACGCGCATCACAATAAAAATTCCCAACGGCCCCTTATCGGGGCCCGAGGCCCCGCTCGCTCCCGGCGGATGGCGCCACCGGCGCGGTCTTTCCCGCGAGCGCTTTTCGACAAATTAAATACACGCGCGGCTACAAATTATGCGCGGGCCGAAGCCCGCCGTAAATCAAAGGCCCCATAAAACCGGACGCTCGTCTCCCCGGGACCGAATCCAAGTGGGCCCAGTCGTCGCGAGATAGTAGTATCTCCCCGGAGTGGGCCCGAGAGGAGGACGGGCCCCCTCGGGACGCCGAGCGTCGTATCGCTGACGTCGGATTTTAGTGGCCCGGCGACGTCTCAATTAAATTTGAAAATTGGGACTCGGGCCCCTCGGTCGTTTTGTCGCGTTCGGGGGCCCGTAGGGCCCCGACTTGAGGGGGACCGAGAGAGAGGAGGCTCTTCGGCTCTCTCGACGTCAGTCCTACGTGGGATTAATGCCGCGTCCTCTCCCCACCCCTCGGGCCGGCCCAGGACCGTTTTTTAATGCCCAATCCAGAGAGTCGTCGCCCTCTCGTTTCTATCGATGATCCACCTGAGAACCCAACGGATCCCCTCGTGGATAAAATATGCTCCTCCGGGCCCAGGACGAAATCAGCCGTGATTTACGGGAAATAACCCGGCGTGTTTATGCCTCGATATTTATCTCACGATTAACGGGAATATTCCCGGATAAAGGCCCGCGGGAATCTCCGGGAGATTCTTCATTTCTCGCCTTGTTATTCTTCTTCCTCTTTTCCTTTTCTACCGCCTTTTCTTGTTTCGGTCTCGTTGACCCCTCAAGCGACCTGGAAAATGCAAGCGGCTTTCGGGGCCTTATTGGAAGTACCTAATCCTCTTCTTTGATCTCGCTTTTTAGTTTATTATCACTTTTTATTTTATTATCACTGTAATTATAGGAACGCTCCTTTTTTGACGATGCGAGGGATCCTAGGTACCTTCGCTCTGTTTACACGGCCGGGATTTTAGTTTTAAGACGTAGATACAGGAAATTCAAGGATTAGCTTCATGAATCTAGCCGTAAAGAGAAATTGCCTGTGAATATCCTGGATTTTCGAATTTAGTATTTCTGGTGAAACAGATTTCTAAAAGAATGGAACGGAAAGGTGCATAGTGAAGTTTCTGTTCTATGCCTTCAATCAGTACTTCACTTCTGGTGTTAAAATACTATAATATATATATACTATAAAATACTATAATATAATATAAAATACTAAAAGAATTATAGCCGTTTATGAACTGCAGATAATTTTTTAACACTAAAAGTGAGGCATGAGTACCAATTTATACACCGAGAGAAAAAAAAAACATTCATTGAACCAATGAGATATTTTGTCAATTCAATGAATAATTATTTCACTGAAATAGACTCGAGTAAATAAGGATACACGGTTTCTATTCTTTGATAAATCGTGGAATGTGGGGTAAACAGGAATATCGACGCAATGTTGGCATGTAAACAACTTTTGGTGTCCTTTTAAAGGACCACATTCCGACATCGAGCTGTATCGACGATCAGTCTACAAACAGCTTTTGCCGCGAAAGTATCACTCGAGGATGCGAAAACGGAACAATGTCGTCTTTGTTATTTACCGGAACTGTTCTCTCTGATCCCGAAGATCGTAAATCAACGGAGAAAACGATTCGTACTGCAAAAGATTACTATAAAATATTATTATAAATGATTTTTAATCAAGTATTGCAAAAGACTTTACTATAAAATATTATTATAAATATTATAAATAATTTAATCCTATCTGTCCGATGGAAATTGTCAAAAAAAGTGGCATCCAGAGTGTCTATACGTCAGACTAATGATTAATACAAGGGAAACTAGTACCTGTACAATGAAAATTGTAAAAGAAAATATTTAGTGCGTTAATAAATAGTGTTAATAATTAGTACGAAAAAAAACTAGTACCTGTACAATGAAAATAGTAAGAGAAAATAACATTTGAGGTGTTAATAATTAGTACGAAGAAAAACTAGTACCTGTACAATGAAAATTGTGAAAGAAAATAACATCTAAGGTGTTAATAATTAACACTAGGGAAAACTAGTACCTGTACAATGAAAATTGTGAAAGAAAATAACATCTAGCGTGTTAATAATTAACACGAAGGAAAACCAGGACCTGCATAATGAAAATCCTGAAAGGAAATGACATTTATCGTGTTAATAATTGGGAAATTGTTGATTCGTGAGAACCTTTCCCGAATGGAGGTCCAGGATACAGATTGGAAATCACCGGGAGAGTCCTGGAACGCGAAGAAGAACTGACGAAGGGAGTTGGAGACCTGCGATGGACGCCGATGGTAGCCAGCGGCCAACGAGGTCGTCCTGGGCAGCGATCCGGTCGGTCCAGAAGATACAAAGGGCCCCATATCGGGTTATCTCCATCTTATCGGGCAGCCCGGGCCCAATAAATCATCTCCTGCCTAGCCGGTCCACCTTTAATTACCGTGCCCTCGCAAAAATATGAAGACGTAATGCGTTGCCCACTTGCCCCTGCTACGTACCTGACTGTAGGTAGCCCGTAGGTAGGCAGGTACGTAGGTAGGCAGGTTGCAGAGGTACGCGTCGATGCAGAAGGCGTTGCTCATAAATAATAAATATATATTCATGAACGCCACCGGTTATCGGACTTTCGCGACGCGGAGCCTTTCCCGTAGGAGCATGTACCAAAAGCATGGAGGTCTTTTATCGTGCACGGAACATGGCTTCCGGATCGCCTTGGACCGCTTACCGATACGTCGTGGACTTTGTTTATAAGTTAATAAAAAATAATCCGGGGTAAAAGTGGGCAGGGATGAAGGAAGGGGGTGGGTTACCGAAAAGGTCCGACAAGAGGGAAGAAAAAATCAAGTTTATTTACAAATTGACGGAAAAGATAGGTACGGTCAAGACGTCAGACGTCGGGACTCCGTTTTATCGTTTCTAGTTGAAAAAAAAAAAAGAACGTGATCCTAGACGCCAGCGAGTGTCCCTAAGGTTCAGGGCCACAGAAAGTGGGCCCAGAAATCGGTGAAATTCTTGGGATCCTCCTTTTGGGTTCCTGAAAAGCCCCGTCGAAGACAAACGAAAAAGGCCCTGGTCCCTCCGATAATTCTCCGGGCTTATTTATAAATGATAGAAAATGAGGGACCAACTACATTTACAAATTAATTTGAAAGAAAAAGAAAATGTGTACAAAGAAGACGGTCACATTTCAAGACGTCGCGTTATCGGTTCCAGAAATGGAAAAAGAACGATCCGGGAGACCAGGAAAGGCCGAGGGAAGTGGGCCCAGAAGTCGGCGAAATTCCCGGGGCCCTCCTCGCGGGTTCCTGAAAAGGCCCGTCGAAAACAGACGAAAAAGGCCCTCGTCCCTCCTCCGATAATTCCCCGGCCTCATCGACGTATGAGGATTCGGCGATAGCCGCGATATACTCCTACTCTACCTACCGGGGACCTTCCACCTTCCACCTTCCAGCCACCTCCTCGCCTCCGCCTTGGCTCGCCATGTGACTGATTCCCCTTCTCCTCGTGTTGACGAGTCGAGGGCCTGCCTACCTGCCGCCGTTGCCCCGCTCCCATTACGACGCGGACTCTCGCGGCAGGTGCACCAACCTAAGTGCCACTCCTGGCTGCCTACCTGCGCCGCAACCTGCGCCGCAACCTGCGCCGCAACCGCGCCGCGATCGCCGATCTGGCCGAGCTCCGCTCTGCGACCAAGAGTTAAAACGGAGTTCCGACGGAGTTCCGACGGAATTTCTAGCCCCGACCTCGCGAACCTGTCCCAGGGACAGAAGTGGCAGTCAAGTGACGACCTCTCCGGACAGTGTCTTCCCCCAGTGCGTGCCGAGAGCTGCGAGCCCAGGTTGGGACAGGTGAAACGGTGCCTGGCGACCCTAGGAGGAACCGCCACCGAGGATAGAAGACCCCCAGAGGTGTGGAACTTGCGGCGCAGGTGCGGCCGAGACGCGCTCCCACCTGTGGAAGGCTAGGACAGAGGGTTAAGACCACGTGGTCCGTTCCGCGGAGATCCTCCGACTGGAAGAGGGAACTCGGATGATCCTTGGAGCTGATAGAAGCCGAGATAGGGGACTCTGGAGAAGACGCAACTTGCGGATCCATCCGATGGACATCAGTTCCTGAGACTCGGACAGTGCCGAGGGTGTCGACGGGTCTGGATGTTGGGATAAGGGAGGTGATAAGACATACCCACGGGTGCTTCTGGTGGGCCTTATCCGAGATTCCTGTGGAGGTGGGTCTGGGAAGGAATTACGGAAACGGAGCCGAAGAGACTCGAGTGCCGAGGGTGGACGTCATTTCATGATACTCCGACCAGTGGTGACGCAGGTCGAGGTGGACCTGGTAGGGAGCTGAAGAGGAATTTTCGAGGAGCAGGTGCATCTGGTGGACGTCATTCCCTGAGATTCGGAGAGCGAGCCTGGCGGACGCGCTTATCGGGTGCTCGCGGATCGGCCGCGCCGAACGACGACACACTTTCCGTGCCGTATCAGCCGCTCGGTCACCTAGCGGCGCGTTATCGCGCCTCGCGAATATCACGCCCGACCTTGGGAGACCAAGACCCGGTCGCAGCTGCGCCCGGGAAGCATGACAACTGCGAACTCAGGAGCTGCCACAGGGAATCGGCTCCAGGGCGCGACCAACGACTCCAGTGGCCATCTAGGAGTCTAACCGAGGCGGTACCGAAGCGGAATCCCCGAGGGATCCAGGTGGTGCACGCTTCCCAGGCTTCCGCAGACCCCTGGAATCGGGGCCAGCCCTACACCTGACCCTGAGACCCCAGCAGCGCGGATATGTCCGCGACATGTTGAAAGCATGAGGGAGCTGGACACCGAGAGCCCCGTCGTCTGGCCGGCCTGGTGCTACACTGGTGAGTGGACATCTTCCTTTAAGGGCCGATCACCCCAGCCGTGGTTCTGGATAGCTTTGATAGACCCTTAAGGTGCTATGAAAGTGTCCTGTACCTCAAACAGTCAGAACATCTCTAAAACTTCTCCAAACCGGGCGCACCGAATACTCTCAAACATTAACACGTGATTCTAGAGGGTCTAATGGAAAGTCTTGAAACTCGCGAGATTTCATTTCTCGAATGAAAAATGTGTGTTCATCCCGGACAAGAACCAGAAAGAGACATTTTTTCGTTCGTCGAAAAATGAAATTTCCTGAACTTCCAGACCTTCGTTAGGAACTCACGTGTTAAAAGTTTCAGATTATTCGGCGCATCCAGTTTGGAGATAAGTTTTTTAATATCTTCACGCTTGGTGTACGTAGAATGATTCTTTCGTGTCACCTTAAGGCGATGCGGAAACCTCTTTTAAGGAAGGGGCTTTTTAGAGATGACACTTTTCTTGAAGGGTGCTACGCCGAATTGGCTGAAATTTTGAAACTTCGCTTCTGAGTACCCTAGGAAGGTTCTGACACCCTTGATATTCCCATAAAAACCAAATAATCTTTTGTTCAGGCTCGTTGAAAATTGAAATTCGGAAAGTGTCGAGACGTTCCTTAGGTACTCCCAAGTCCTGTGTTTAAATTTCAGTTAGTTTGATTGATTAACCTTCAAGTGCCTTGTTCGATTGATTCTCTGGCTTGACGATTTCGTATCACCTTAATGATTAGATAATCTCGGATTAGTGGAACTCACGACGAGGAAAGTTAGACTAATCGAGGTTTAATGTCCGCTGTTAGGTGACCACCCGAAATCGAGCGAGTAGCGCTAATCGCCCGTTAGGTAATCCTTGATTAAGGGTTTTAACTCGAGTGTTGGTGCGCCTGACCCTAACGATTAATCTCCTCCGGCGGGAACTCGATCGCTCCCCGACTTCCAGAAACTCCGGGAGGTCGTCTCCTTTGACTTCCTGGAAGCTTGGACTCGTCCTCTAAATACTCCTCGGCGTAACTCGCGTTATCAGCGAGCAACGCGCAACGTGCAACCCGACGCTCGCCAAGTCGAGCTTACGAAACAAAAGTTACGGGCTTGAGAAAAAACTGACTATAAAAGGATGGACTGCCGACTTAACGCGGGTTACTAAAACGTCAGCGCTAACGTGTACCGAGAATCGGCGGTTTAGTATACCTGGGAGTTAAATTAGACGCTGAAATAAAAATATCCCCGGTTAATCGATGGAAATTGACCGATTTGTTATTGGCAACGATAACACGAAATGTTGGAATGAAATAACAGACTTGAGAAGAAATGTTGACTTATAAAAGGATGGACTGCCGATTTAACGCGGGTTAGTAAAACGTCAGTGCTAACGTGTACCGAGAATCGACGGTTTAGTAAAACGTCAGCGCTAACGTGCACCGAGAATCGGCGGTTTAGTATACCTGGGAGTTAAATTAGGCGCGGAAATAAAAATATCCCCGGTTAATCGATGGAAATTAGCCGATTTGTTATTGGCAAGGATAACACAAAATGTTGGAATGAAATAACAGGCTTGAGAAGAAATTTTGACTTATAAAAGGATGGACTGCCGATTTAACGCGGGTTAGTAACACGTGAGCGCTAACGTGCACCGAGAATCGGCGGTTTAGTATACCTGGGAGTTAAATTAGACGCTGAAATAAAAATATCCCCGGTTAATCGATGGAAATTGACCGATTTGTTATTGGCAACGATAACACAAAATGTTGGAATGAAATAACAGACTTGAGAAGAAATGTTGACTTATAAAAGGATGGACTGCCGATTTAACGCGGGTTAGTAAAACGTCAGTGCTAACGTGTACCGAGAATCGGCGGTTTAATATACTTGGGAGTTAAATTAAACGCGGAAATGAAAATATCCGCGGTTAATCGATGGAAATTGGTTGATTTGTTAATGGCAACGATAACACAAAATGTCGGAGTGAAAATAGGCGGGAAGAAACAAACTTAAGGTTTATGAATAAAGGATTGACGGAAGACTATCGGTGCCCTTGATTTTTACCCGTTTTATTTTTCGTTTCTCCTGGAGATTTGTCGAGGGGGGAATTTGTCGGAATTGAAATAGTTATATTTGAATTTTCCTCTTCATCGAATAGTTATATCTGAATTTCCGTTCCACCACGCAAACGTTTCGCCGTGGTTCACGTTCGTTACGCTTTTCGGGCTGTCAGTGTATGATAAGGTACGAGTGACAGCCCATACCTGTATTGTCAATGAGAAAAATTGTAAAGCCTCGAAGGTTTCTAAAGATCCTCTTGTAGTCAAAGGATACCGGTGCCCTTGATTTTTACCCGTTTCACTTTTCGTTTCTCGTGGAGATTTGTCGAGGGGAGAATTTGTTGGATTCGAGATCCACCTGATGATTTCCAGTAACGAGGGTCGCGCGTGTAACGATCCCCTCACGTGTCGCCGTGGCCGCGCATTGCGCGTCCGCACTAATAATCGCGCGGAATCTCTCGCGAGAGAGCGGCTTTTTGTATCCGTCACGAAACGCCTGGCGGGCACTTATCTCTCCCTCTTTTTCTCCGTCCCTTCCTCGCTCTCTGTATCTCTCTCGACCTCTGCATCTCGACCAGCATCGAGACCTGGAACAAAGACATTAATATCCGCGACGCGGCGCAGGTCGCACTCTAACCCGCGCCGCAGGTGCTCGCAGGTGCTCGGCAGTCGATTCGTTCCGCAGGCCGGAGGAATCCGCAGCCGACTACCGATTTTCCCCCGCAACGATGCATCGATCGTTATCCGTTTCCGCCGAATCGGCCGATTTCCCCGTAATACCATCCGAAAATGGAAAATGTTGATGCACTTACTATGCATCGTCGAGGGCGCTGAATCATTTCGCGCCGCCGATAGAATCCGTGGTCGACTACCAATTTCAGTCCGCATCGATGCATCGATCTTCATTCGTTTCCGCCGAATCGACCGCAAAGGAAAAATGACGATGCACTCGTGGTGCATCAATGAGAGTCGAATCGTTCTGGGATTCCGGATGAATCTGCAGCCGACTACCGAGTTTTTTTCGCAATGATGCATCGATCTTCATTAATTTCCGTCGAATCGGTCGATTTCCCTGCAACATCTACCGAAAATAAAAAATGTTGCCGATGCACTCGCGGTGCATCGTCGAGATCCAAATCATTTCACGATGCCGGAGAAATTCGCAGTTGCCTTCCGATTTCCCCAAAGATGCATCGATTGTCATTCGTCATCTTCGAATCGACCGGTTTCCTCGAGATATCATTCGGAAATGGAAAACGTTGCCGATGCACTTGCGGTGCATCGTCGAGATCCAAATCATTTCACGATGCCGGAGAATTCGCAGTTGCTCCCTGATTTTCCCCCGCAAAGATGCATCGATCGTCAGTCGTCATCTTCGAATCGACCTATTTCCCCGAGATATCATTCGAAAATGGAAAATGTTGCCGATGCACTCGCGGTGCATCGTCGGGATCCAAATCATTTCACGATGCCGGAGAAATTCAGAGATGCCCACCGATTTTTCCCCGCAAAGATGCATCGATCGTCATTGGTCATCTTCGAATCGACCTATTTCCCCGAGATATCAGTTGAAAATGGAAAATGTTGCCGATGCACTCACGGTGCATCGTCGAGGTCCAAATCATTTCACGATGCCAGAGAAATTCACAGTTGCCCTCCAATTTCCCCAACGATGCATCGATCGTCATTCGTCATCTTCGAATCGACCTATTTCCCCGAGATATCATTCGAAAATGGAAAATGCTGCCGATGCACTCGCGGTGCATCGTCGAGGGTTCGGCGCATCACGATGTGGACATACGGAGGTGTGCCGTATCTTTGCTCTGCGGGGGGGAAATGTCACGCCGCGGTTTTATGCGCTCACGATGTGTGGCGTCGCTGCATATCATGCACCATATGGGGTGCATCGTCCAGCCTGCCAATAGGAAGGCCCGAGACAAAGACATTAATATCCGCGGGTCGCCTCCCGGTGCCTCCAGCAGGTGCAGGAGAGCGATTTGTTCCACAAAAATAAAGGAATAAATATCCCTAGCTGGGTTCCCACCGGCTCCCAACCTCGATTCCTCCCCTCGAGGTTGGTCCTTTTGCTCCGCTTAGTCCTTTTGCTCGAAGATTGGCGACGAGATTCGAGGCCCCAAATTTCGGGGACATGTCGAGGCCCATTTCGCCATTTGCTTCAATGCCGATGCATGTGAGATCAGGCGGAGCAAAAGTCCCCGCTCAAGTTTCTCCGGCGTTTTCGGATGAAATTTTCTGGGTGAGCTTTTCTTCCTCTACCTTTTATTCCCGACGGCGAGAGATTTTTACTCGAAGGGGTGTCCTGATGTCGCGGATACCCCGGAAGACGAGAGGGCAAAGCGGCGCGATTTGGTGACGGGGCGACTTCCCGGATTGGCGGAACGAATCCGCTCCGGGATAATGCCGCGGTAATGGCGGGAACGGTGTCTCCTAACCGCGTAACAAATACCATTCCCGTGGCGGCTGCTAAAACGAGTCATCTGGGGAAAGAGAGATCGCAGCCTCTCGAGGATGATGATTCGTTTGGCGCCTCGCGGCGGGTTTCCCTAGACCTCCGGGATGAGACCAAACGCGATCGAAGGCACGGACGTCGAAGGCCCTACGATTCTAAATCTAAGCCTAGACAACATTCGGAAAGAACTAGCGAAGAAACCCTAATCAAGTAGTTAGGCCTTGTTTAAGATTCTATTGTGCGTCGACGTCGTTTTGTACGATTCTTCCGGCACTGGGCAAACTTGGGATATCCTAGAAGTGCTTCATATAGAAATGTCTAACGTTATATCGTTGATTTATGTCAAACTTCCCTAAATGAAACCTATCCTGGACCAGTTGATACGCCTTTATCTGCAAGCTGCAGCACGCGAGATCGCTGGTCCTTGTGCCAGGAAGCCACTCTCGGAGGATTCGCCGCGATTTAGAATTTTCCGC